CGGAGGGCTTAGATAATTTAGAACAGAATATGGAGCCTGAGGAAGAAAAGGGTAATGAAAAGCAAGACGAAATCCAAGAAGAGTTAGAACCTGAACCCGAAGAGCAAAAACAGGATGAAAAGCAAGACGAGTTAGAACCAGAGGATGAACGACATAAAGAAAAACATAAAGAGAAAACCAAAGAAAAACAACCAGAGGATGAGCAACAAGATGACCCTGAATATTCAGGTAATAGAGAAAAATAATGACTAGCCTTATAAGTATTGACCCTGGTGGAAGGACGGGCATTTATTACCAAAATAAAGAGCAACAACAATTCCTCGAAATAAATAAGCCGTGAAAAGAAACTTATGAAGAGATTAAAGAATTAGTGAAAGAAAAAAAGGTTGAAACTATTATTTTTGAAGATACTAATTACATCCACAAAAGAACTAAGGACGGATTAAACTTATTCCGATTATTAGGAGCAATTGAATGTTTGGAAGTAGAGAGAATGGAGAGAGTGAATGTTTTAAAAGTTAAAGAGTTAACCAAACAATTATTTAAAGGAATTAAGCAAATAGAGGGTATAGAGTATTTACCAGGTAGAGGTAAAGGGTGAATGTTTAAAGGAAAAAGAGTTAGCATTCATCAGTTAGAGGCTTATTTGATTTATTATCTTTTTCATAATTAGTTTTGGTTGGAATAACAAAACAAAGTTGGAACAACAATTATTTTACTCTTCCTTTAAAAAAAGGCTGTTTTTTGCTTGGTTTTTTTAATTCACTTATAAATCTACTTAACAAGGGAAAATGAAGCAAAAGTATATAGGGAAAGATAAATAACTCTCTTTTTTTATACCCTCCATAAATTACCCATTTTTGGGTTTTTTGTTCTCCTAACTAATGGGAATATTAAGGTCTTATTTTTCTCATTTCCCCTATTGTCTAATCTACCCCCTCTAACTCTCGTATTTATACGGGAACTATTCAAACTTTTAATAATGGTCTTGCCTTTTGGCAAGAATTAGAAGCCTTTTTAGTTTATTATCTCTCCCAGCAAGATTTAAATAATCCTTCACTAATTATTCGGACTGGTAAAATATCATCTATTTCGGGAAAGTAAATATATCTCCCATCATTTTGTAATTCTCATTTTTCTAGTTGTTTTGGTTTTACCTCTTTATCTAATATTCCTCATTTAGTTAATAAATCCACAGCAACAATAACCTCCCGTCCGTCGTCTAATTGAGATACCAATTTCCCCCCTTTTATTTCACAACTAATAATTTTGGCTGGTTGCCCCTGGTTAATTAGTTTATTGGGTTGTTGGATTTGCTTGGCTGAAACTTCGTTTTCTTTTAGTCTTGTCATATAAGTTATTTTTAAAACTTGCCATCTCAATTTATCCCTACCTCTTTTAATTGTCCTTTCACTATCTCTATAATATTAGCATAATTTTTCCGAACAAACTTTTTTATTTCGGTTATTTCTTCCTGAGCAACTTTTCCTCATTGATGAACTATTCGATAATCTTTTTCTTTTAAATACAGTTCAATTTCTCCGGTTTGTCCTTTAAAATGGAGGTGTATTCAATTAAGGGGCTTATTATAAGGTGGAATGTGTTCGTTAGGATAAAAATGAATTCAATAACCATTTCATCTTCTCCTGGGGTCTTTTTTAGTAAAAAGTTGGTTCATTAATAACTATTTTAACATCTCAATAAACCAATCTCTACTTCTAAAATCTCTAAACTTCAACATTCCTTCTTTAAGCATATTCACTCATTTACTTAATAAGTTCTTTTTTTCTCGTAAGACACAATTTTTTAGTTTACTTTTAGCCTTTTCTTCCAAGTTAAAGCAGAAATTCACTAATGAATTATCAGTTTCTTTCTTATTCTTGGTAAAATGCATTAGGCAATATTTTTTGTTTACTTTCCTTACTCCGACTTCACAAAAATAAAAGTCTTGGATAGCATGGAGGATTTTATATTTACCTGGTTCATCAATCATAAAGTCATCCCAGTTTCTTTGGGAAGGATTAATTTTTTCCTCTAAGGCTGAATAATGGGGGTCATCTTCTCCCTCTATGAGATTAATATAGAGTAGTCATTTTACCCCTTTTTTATCTTTTACTATTTCTAATACTCCTTCATTATCTCCTTTTTCTTTTTTTTCTTCGGCTACTTTTTTAAGTTTAAATAAGTTGGTGAAGACATCTAATAATCAAGCACTCCACGAATAAGCATTAGCTAGAAAAGTTATTTTAGTTGGTATTCTCTCTCCGTCTTTGCCTTTTCGACCTTTTAAACTTTTTACTAAATCTCGGAAGTCATGTTGTTCTCGGGGTAAGAATTCTTGGTCGATGGGAATGGCTTCTTCAAAAACTATTTCCGAGAAAGCAGTTCGGGCAATGGCTCCTCTTACTCTTTGATAACTAAACAAATCATAAAAATGTATTCTTAATAATCCTTGGTAAAATACTCCTTGTTCTTTGATTTCAAAATGATTAAGGTTTAAATTTTTTTCCTCACAAAAACTATAAATTAATCCTTGAAAAAAAGGCTTAGTGGCTAAGAGGCTATCGTGTCAACGACGACGAATTCAGGCTACATTATTTTCTTTATGGGTGGTAATAATGGTTAAGAATTCTCAGCCCTTGGTGTCGGATTTTCCTCTTCCTCTTTCGGTGAGGTAAATATGAAAGAGGGCTGGTTGTTGGTAGATTTCTTTTCAGTTGATATATTTGTTAGTCATTTATTAAGGAATTTTAGCAGCAATGTGTCCGAAAAGGGTATATGAAAAAAGGGATTGATAAAAGTTTATTAGTTGGATTAATTTAATTGATATTTTGGTTGTAAAATGGTTGTAAAATCTTCCGTGGTTGTAAAATAAGTTATTATGGATAAGGTTGTTAAATGTCAGCATTGTAAAAAACTTAATCAGAGAATAATTTGTGTTGAATGTAAGGAAAAATACCCTAATATGCCTTCTTGTGGCAATTTGGATTGTCCTTTGAAAAGTTTTCACGAGCATTAATTACTATATTTATCATCATTCTCACCTTTTATCTTTCTTAATTCTTTAAATCTATCTTTAACTTTCTCCCGATAACCCAAGCCTACTAACTTATAATGAAAATCTCGGGCTTTGCTCTTTCAAACGGGGTCATGTCCTGGACCAGTGTTTTTCTTTCTTCCTCCTTGTCATCATTTAAAGTTGGGGTCTCTTTTTACAGATGGGTCAGCATGAGCCGTCTCATGTGGAACTGTGGGAAAATAACCATCAGCATCAAAACTATAAAAACCTTCTTCGGTCATTTTTAATTTATTGATATAGATTTCGGTTTTCCTTGAATTGGTTATATAGGGGTATAAAGGAAGTTTAACCATTAAACCATTAGGATATTCGTGTCATTTTCAATGCCTCCCATATTCTCCTTTTTCAACCAAACTATCGGCATTTCTAATTATAAAATCTATTCTCTCTTTCATTTCTGGTTCGTGGTAGGCTGTGCCTCCTCATTCATCTAACGGCAAAACTTCATTACAATAAACCTCATAATTATTACTATTCTTCGGCAAACACTTATCAATCATCTCTTTCGTTAAATCCTCTTGTTCTTCCATTCAAGTATTTAAAAGTAGAGCAGGTTCATCTCCCCTCTCTCTTCCTCCATCTAAATAATCACTGTTTTCCTCTAACAATACTTCTTCCCTGGTTTCTTCATAACCACAATCAGGACAAGTTCAATAATTACTACTCCAACTTCTAGCATTACATTTCGGACACTTAATTAATTGAGACATATTATTATTTACTTTATTATCTTATTATATTATCTTAAAAATATTTTTCGTGTGTGTATATGTAGGCATAAGGCTATAAGTAAGCCGAAAGCCATTGGGGCTAGAACGAGAAATAAAAATCGAAGTTCTAGCCTTTTTAAGAAAAAGTGCTATCTCTTGCTGGTTTTATCTCCGTTCTATCCCAATAGTGCTTTCCCCGTCCTTTTGGGTGCTTTCAGTCCTCACCTCTCCACCCTTTTCAACAGGATAATAGTCTAAAAGTTGTTTATTTTGGTAAAATTTTCGGTATTTAAAGACTAAATTCTGACCCACGATGGTTAATTTAGTTATCTGTTCTCATTTATTAGGCTCGATTTCATTTTCGGTAGCCTGTAATTTTTCACTTCCGATTTTTAAAATATAATAAGTCTGACCCATTCTTTTACCATCTCTAAACTTTCTTTCTAGTATTTCCGACGGGGAGTTAATCGAACCAGTTAGAGTATAAATGGTGTAATTTTTGGGGATTTCTGCTTGATAGTAAGAGTTGATTTTCTTGGTTAGTTCTATTAAGCAATTAGAGGCTAGTTGATTATTAGACTCTCCCAATTTTTTAATTAGAGTTTGTTTAATGGCTGCTTGATTTAATTGCTGAGTAGTTAATTGTTCTCAAAAGGTAGTCATATAAGGGTTTTATCTCCCTTCTAAATTCCTCTTATCTAGTATACAGATAAATATATAAGAACCTTAAATAATTATCTGACTAGGATGACAAATCTGACAACCATCCCAATTACATAACCTCATTTTGGCTATTTCCGTATTATAAGTAGTTCCATCCTCCCTTTTTTGTTCCTTGGTAAATCATCAGCCGACATAATGCTTACCATTCAATTTACAACTTAGCATCTTATTGCCATTGGCTTGTTCTTTTTGCTCTAGTCAAAAGATATCTTCTTTATTAACTGGTGGCTGGTTAGTGGTTTGATTGGTTTGGTTCATATAAGTATTTTTGATTAAGTAAATTCTCCTTCTTGCCTCCACTTTTTTTCCTCCTTTTCTTTATATTATTTCTTTACCTATTATATATAGGATAAACAAATAACGCTATTGATCTTATATCAAAAGAAAAAATTAAATAAAAAAGAAAAGGCAAAAAAGGGCTAATTTTGTCCTATTTTATTTACTTTGTAAATAATGGGTTTGATTTTGGGGGGCTTTTGTTTATCTATCACTGCTTCTCGAATAGACCTAGCACCTTGGCATAGGCAAGATTTATTGGGGAGATGCCTTTCTCCTAGTCGGCTTATTATTTACGACTGTTTTCTTTAAGGTCTAACCAGCAAAAGACCATAATTTATCCAATAAACTCTTTAAAAACTCTCTTTCTTTTCTATCTT